ATGGCGTTGGCAACGTCGTTGGACCCGTGGGCGAAAGACATGACCATAGCAGAGAAGATCTGCAGTGAATGCAGAGCAGAGGACGTTGAAATTTTTGCGGTTGCGCTTCTTTCCTGGTCTTGACATGCACATCAGAATGGCAGACAACACGAGAACGTCATACTATATTCCCTCGAAAGCCTCCGAAATACTTTCAATCATACCGATAGAGGGGTCGGTAGCCTCAAAAATTGAGCAAGCTAAGTTCAAAGCAGAACGTGAGCAGACAACCAAAGACCCAGGCACTTTCGCTCTAACGTCGGACCCTGGAGTAGGAGCGGTTTTCCGTGTCGTCACTGCAAAGCTACTTTGCAAGGGTGTTGACTCCGAATCAACGGATTCGCTTCCATTCCGCTGTTCGACACGCACCTGGAGGTAGCGGAACAGGCGCTCCGTCTTGAAATCGAAGACTTCGGCTCCCTCCCAGATCGTCCCGACGCGGATGTCATTCCCGATGGCGGAATGAACGTCGTAAGAAGCGCCGTACGTCAAGGTCTTGACAAACGCGTTGCCGAAGATGAATTTGCCCGCGTTCGTCTGCGCGAACCTATTCACACCGTACTTCTCCATGGAGCGGTGCCACATGGTGTCCTTGCCTGCGCGCGTCGAAACGATGAGGTGTACGTCAGCGACAGCCAGCGGTGTGAATATACGCTCTGACGTCAGCTCTCTGGCATCAGCTCCAAAGAGAGCCGCCAACAGTCATCAGCGAATTTCCATAAATAAACCCAGTCATCAGCGAATCTGCCATGAATAAAGAGATAAAGAAAAGTTGGTAGACCCACAAACACTAATCCGAGCCCTAACCAAGCTTTTGAAGTTCAATTACCTCCTCGTCAGTTCGCTCTATTTGAAACACACTGCTCTGCTCTGGACAGGTAAGACGCAACCACCAGTCCGGCTCGTCCATCTCTTAACGCCACAGCAGACGAAGGGACACGTGTCTCACTTTGAAGGGCTGCTTGCTCGTTGGCCTGCGCGCGCATGATCGCGGCCTCCTTGGGATCGAGCTCGCCGGCCTCGATCCGGGCGGCCTCCATTTTCTGGTCAGCTTCAACGCTGCAAACATGACAGGTGTCGCTTCAGATGAACTGCAAAGGCCCCCTTGCATGATCGCCGGTTTCGACACTAAGTTATGAACGTCAGAGCCCACTTTATCGCCCGTTTCGTCCTACACCCACGCTGGGAAAACAGCGTCAAAGAGGACTGAAAAGGGCGGCCTCCATTTGCCGGTCAGCTTCAGAGCTGAAAGAATCACAGGTGTCGTTTCAGAAGAAGCACGGCAAACCCACTTCGATCGGATTCAAAGCTGCAAGTATAACAGGTGTCGTTTCAGAAGAAGCACTACAAAACCCATCTTCTTAACTGTCCGCCGTTTCAGAAGAAGCACTACAAAACCCATCTTATCTACTGTCCGCAATAGCAAGTCAAGCCCAACGCGCAACGAGATCCATTCTGCGGCGGAATGAGCGCGTGTGTAAAAACCGTCACCTGGTGGGACTTTGCATGCGACATCTAAAACCGACGCGTTCGAGCAGTCGTATACCACTTAACCGAGTCCCGAAATTGAGATTCGGGTTTGCCCGTCCGGGTTTAGAACGTCCAAAGTCGACCGCACGAGTCTTACGATGCTATCACTTGTTTGCTTAAAGAGAGCGTCAACGCAACGTCATCACCCGGTCACATTTAGCAGGGCCCAGTGCTCGGGGTACAAACTCCAAAACCAAGTTGTTGGCAACAGGACCCCAGAGAATCATGCTTCGATGTCGTTACGTGACGTCAGGTATCCCGGGTTCCAGGACGCCCACTAACAATCTTGATCGAAGCGGAAACAATCGAAGCGGAAAGAAGCGCGCTCACCGCTCCCTCTCAGAGTCTGCGGCGTGGACCGCCTTGTACAGGAACGGCATGATGACAGCCACCGTCAGCACGCCCATGCCGGCAGCAACCACGGCGCTAACCCACACGCTCTTGCTGTCGGACACTTTCTGCGGACAGCGAGCAAGTGAAGCGGACGTCAGAGGGGGTTGCAAAACTTGTTGACTCAGACTCGTCGAACGGAAGATGACGTCAGCGAGTTGATGGTTAAGTAGTATGCGTCAAGCAAGAGAAGCGGACGTCCGAGGGGTTGAAAAGCTTGTTAACTCGTCGGACGGAAGATGACGTCAGCAAGCCAAAGATGGCTAAGTAGTGTGCACCAAGCAAGACAAGCGGACGTCCGAGGCGTTGGGAAATCTGTTCAGACTCGTCGGACGGAAGATGACGTCGGCAAGCGCAAAGGGTACTGAACCGAGTGCGGCGGCTAATGTGCAACAAGCAAGACAAGTGGACGTCATCAATACGTAAAAGCAGTTGAGGTTCGTGGAACGAGTGTGCACGAAAGATGACGTCTACAAGCACAGTTGGCGACAAACAGATGCTGATTATTGTGGACAGACAAGCAAAGCCTGATTCGAGAAGAGTATTGGTGAAAGATCGAGAGGGAACAGGACTACAACATCCAGCAAATTGGGTTTAGACGAAGCTTATTTCGAAAACTCAGCAAACGACAGCTGTTGTGCACCGTCGTGACAGCCAAGCCGAGCACGAAAGGAAGGTTTGCATCGGAGAAAGGTCTGGGTAACAGAACTCTCAACATTCCAAAGGTGTTCAGGCAAAGCGTTTCAAATGGGGCAACTCACTTCCCAGCTGGAGTTCTTGTTGCCGGTCTGGATGATGAACATGACGACCACGAAGAAAGTCGCAACCACCAGAACCGGGAACAGCTGCATGCGATGACGACATACGTTTGTTAGCTAGGGCACACTAGAAACTGCATTCGGCGGAGTTGGGACCTTTCACTCGACAAACCCACAACAGGAGAATGTTTGGTCACGCCTTCACAAGCGTCATTGTCTCACTCACGTCTCAAAGCAACAACGTAGATCCGAGTCAGCCACAGTCTGCAAGTCAGAGCTTTTTGTTTTCGCTAACAGTCCTCTGGAAATCCGGTCACGGTGGAGGGATCAGCGATCCAAACGCTCTTCTCTTCCGTACTCCCTGATATAATCGCTGTAACTCAAATTGAGGTTATCAAGAGGGCAATCAGGTGCTACAAAAAGAGCTGCTAAGCAAACTTCGGGAAAAGCATTTTTAAATGTGATCCACATAGAGCGCCACAGCCATTGGGCTTCCTTCCGATTTCCCTTGGGACCGTAGGAAGGTGGAGCCGTAAAGTGGCAATTAAGGGAGAAGCACGACTCACGTAGAAGGCGCGGATGAAAGAGTGCGGCGAGCGGAGGACGAAGGTGCGCAGCAGGAAGAACAGGATCGCGACCAGAACGCCGGAACTGAGGGGCGACACGATCCACTGCGCAAAGGCACAAGAAAACAGAGTGAGCTTTTAGAACTAGCACGGAGAGTAGCATCCGGACAGCAGGCATGACAAACGTGACTGCATGAGAGCCGTCTGCGTGACTCCTAGAATCAGAAAGAGGTGTGCTGGTACGCACGCAACAGTCCGAATGTCAGACAGTGGGGCACACTTGATTCTTTAGAATGGTTCGTAAGAGCTCAACTTGAAAAAAGAACGCAGCAAACACACTGAAAACCTGAACTCCAAACGTTGGACTCGTTTGAGACCAGTGCTCACCCTAACCCCGTTGCTAACCCCACCCGTCTCAGGCAGGGTGTCTTATACGATAAACTAGGTTCATTAGAACTGATTCCAACGACTTGACTAACCTGGAGGAAGATGATGCTCATGCCCTTGAGGTATGGAAAATCGTTGTCGCCCGTCGCAGTGTTGATGTTCAGCTTGCTCCACACCACCGCGTAGCGTCCGCGAATGACCCAGGCCATGCCCACAATTGCACCGACTGTGAAAGGAGCAAAATTCTTTTAAACACGGAGAAGGCTTCGTGAATGAGAGGAGACAGCTAACATACAAACCAGGGATTGGCAGCGCAGTATTGGCCAGTTGCGCTGGATGCGTTCAATCGAGGTTGGGAAACGTTTTGGGAGAGTTCTGGGAAGCGAGAACCCTGAAAAGGGGTTCGACTGTTTCGGGGTTCGACTGAGGTTGAAAAGAGAGAGAGAGTTCAGGGAGGGTTTCTAAAAGCGAGATCCTGAAATGGCTCAATCGAGTTTCGCAATTCACCAGGGCAGAATTTCCGCAAAGCTCACTCGAACCTCTGAAGAGATTTCTGAATTCATCTCTGATTTGGTCCCTGAGTCACTGATTGCGCGATAGATTCTATTTAGATCGACAAAACCCCACGGAGAGCGTCGGCTTACCTGTGGTGTGAGTGGTCGAGACGGGCAGCTCCAAGTGACACGCGAAGTTGTCCCAAAAGGCCGCCGTGATCATGACCGCAAGCATGCCCATCATCAGCAGCTCTGCGCACGGAGGGGGAAAAAACGCTTTGCCATTTGGGCAAGTTTGTCAAGAGCGCATTATGCTGATCGCTATGTTGATTGCATGGAGGCGTTTCAGAAGGCCCGCCTCTTCAAAGGGTCCCAAGGTTCAAATGTGACAGGCGCTGTTCAATCGAGCCCGATTCTCCATGCAGAGTGGAGAACGATGCATGTCACATGACCGTGACGAAAGTCGCTGAAAGAATCGTCGAATCGAGCTCTAGCATGTTTTGAGATGCCTGATCCTTGCGCTCGAAGCGAATCAAGGGTGAAAGGGGAGGTCGCTAACCTGGGGTGTTGTTGAAGAGCGCCACGTTGGCAATCTTATTCTTCACAGCTGCAGAAGGAACGGCAAGCAGATCAGGCGCCAACAAGTCGGTAAGCGCGAGGTGATCTTCATTCGACGGCAAACCAGTGGCCTCGACGTGTCGGACTAAGCTCAGAGCTGTTGGGAACTTAATCGCCCAGAACTGGGTTCTGCACCTCTTTTATTGTTTGTCGTGCAGAGCAATGGAAGACGTTTCGAAAACAAGGCTCCCGTTTTCGGGCAAACCAAAACTCCAGAATGTAAAACACGGATCGCGTCACGAGGGGAAAGAGTCAGGGCTCGAAGATTTGAAATACTGGAACACTTGGAACACTGGAGCACGAACTTAGACAAGACATGCTTCAACCTTTCAAACACCTGCTTCTACGCCACAAACACATGTTTCGGCGCCTAAACAGGCTTCTTTGCGCTTACTGTCAGTGACTCCGGCTCCCAGCAGCAACGCCCCCAGGAATTCGCAGACCGCTGCTATCATGATCGCCTGGGGCATGGACAGCGCTCGGGACCCAACCGAAGTGGCGAACGAGTTGGCCTGCATGCGGAAGAAGACGGAGAGAACTGAGAATGAACGGAGAAGTGAAGTAGTCCGCATGCATGAAATCCAGGCACTGTATGAAACTTACGCCAACCAAGAAACACATGGAACTGATGGATGAAACTTACGCCAACCCTCATACGTTGAACCAATGGATGGAAGGTTACACCAGCCAAATCCTTCACAACGTGTGGAAAAAGTGGGAGGGAAATGAAACAACCGGAGGAAGTACAGGATCCGGCGCCTGTGGGGCAATTCCAGAACTTTCGCTCTTGCTTTGGTTGTTCCTTGGGACCGACGTAAACAAGACGTGCCCCAGACAAACAAAACCGCCAGAGAGCTGGAAGAGCCGACGTTTCGAGTCGTTGATGGAAGACGAACCGCCGAAATCGTGTCAGCTGGTGGGGTAGCTTGTGTGCTCAGTTTTGGGCGAGCAATGACCTCGAAGTTGAGTAACGGAGGAGACATAATACACCACAAAGCGCAGAAAGCGGACGTTTCACGGCCAGTGATGGAATCAGGTATCTGAAAACTTGTGGTCGACCTTCCCATCTGGACATTCATTTTTCGTCCCGATGGAGAACACAAAGATTGGACGATGGAAAATACAGTTTAGCCTGCAGTCATAAAGAGTATGCAGATGTACGCTCCCGAAACGTCAGTGTATACCACATCAGTGGCGCCGATTCCTGAAAGGATGAAACTAACTACGGAGAACTCTCAGTCGACTTTCCCACACTTGAACATGCAACTTTTGCCCAATGGGAGACTCACTGCCTGACTTGTGAGTACGTAAGCATACGTCTTCATAAAGATGAGTACTCACCACATCGTTGGCGCCAATCCCAAAGGCGCAGACGAAACTGACAATGGTCCCGATTGCAAAAATCCATGTGTACTGCTCGAATTGAACCATCGTGACCGTGGGGGGCGATGCAAGCGAGGACTGTGCCTGCATAAGACAGGAGAGAAGATCATAAGCTGATGGCACTAGGAAAAGTTCCCGTTACATATAAAGGCACAAGCATAGAACTGTTGTCTGCAGCGCAGATTGGTTAGAAGCATCGCGCAGCACGAACAGTAGGTCCAGTGAAGCCAAATTCACAATCAGCCAGCTCCGAACCCTTCTTCTACACAAAAGTTCGCTGTAAGACTGCAAAGAAGATCTGCGCAGTACAAGCTACTGCTTTCCAGTGGTCACAAGTTGTGAAAGAGATCCGAAATGAACCGCAACCGATCAGCTTCAGTAAGAGCTTCAAAGAGGAGTTCTCGCACTAGAATTCTTGCGCCGTCCCTGGCTAACGAACTGGCTTCACTGAGCCCTTCCCGAGCTGCGAGTGCGACATGACAAGCTCCAAAAAAGCGGCGCAAGCAATGCCCTATTCAATACACCCTGCTCAATGCACCGTGATGACTCACCTTCCCAGCGTTTGCAGCGGCAGCGAGGGCGCCCCCAACGCGAGCAGATACGCTGGACGAAGGTCACCGTCAGCTCTCTCCTCAAGCAGAACCTGCCGCAAAGGTAACTGGTAACATGTGCCTTATGCACTCTCCTAAAACATGAGAAAGTAAAGAACGCACACTCTGCTGGGCTCGACGCAAGCGGAGCTGATTGCTTACATTGCGACATCGTGGGAATCTTTTGAGGAATCTTTTTAGCAAGCTGGCCGAGAGAGTGATGTGGGGCGAATGGGGAAGGCCACTACTTCCCCTACAACCGTCGAGAAGCGGACATGTGTCAAAGCGACGAAGGATGTGAACACTACGAATCAGGATGTGAACACCATAGAACGAAAGATGGATGATGGAAACGCTGGGCCCGTTGGCCCTCCGGTAGCTAGGATTAGGTGTCAACCACACGAGACACACCTCATCTACGTGGTTGTGTTACACCGTTGGCTGAGCTGCTACTGTTTTGCAAATCTGATCAGCTTTCAGTACAGCTGTCCATGGGTCTCTGGTGGCGGTCATTGCTGAGTTCAAACTGAGGCGAAAGGCAAAAGCAACTGGGTACACCTGCCGAGGTTCTTGGAGATATAATCTCTGTAGCACGGACGTGGCATAAGATGACGGGGAGGTGCTGAGATTTATAAATGTCGACAAGTCCTGAGTACCTAGGTAGTCCCGTGGCCCCACTGCCCAGCCTGGAAAGGAATCTTTTGCATGTGTCGACAATATTGTCTTAGATGTGAACATATACGAGGGCGAGGTAGGGGGTCGATTCCGACGGAGGCCGGAGTCCGGAGGCTCGACCCGGCTGGCCGCCTACCGTATAGGTAGGTACCTAGACGATAGGTAGTCATGTAGGTACCGGGTCATGGTCGTTTTTAACGGCCCAGCCTGAGGCCCAGGCAGGCCCAGGCTGGCGGATCGAAACACAGAAAACATGTAGGTACCTATTTAATACCTATATGAAATACGTCGGATACGGTAATGTTAACAGGTGGTTGGGTTAGTGGGACCGCGGGAAGGTTAGGGTGGATAGCTGGGAAAGAGAGCAGGTACCTACTTTCTTAGGTTAGGATTCTCCTAGTCGGGGGCCGGGGCGTATTACCCAGTATTACCTGTTATCTTGTATTAAATTATTATTTAGGCCTTTCTTGAGTTGATTCAAATCTATGGCTGGCGGCCGGCCCCCGCGTGTGCTTGAGCGATCAAATGATAGAAGTCTATGTCGTCATCCGTCCCAACACTGATCGAGCGAGGATTTCCAGGGGTGTCGTCATTCCTAGCACGGACGGTTTTAAGCCGGAGGAGACGCCAAACGGTGACCGGTCCCGGCCGACTCCCATTATGTCCCATACCATATGATTACTGTCCGAAATACCGACGGGATCGGACCATTGGAGCACCTCAAGCGGCGGGCCGTTTTCTTGGACGTCCGCGGGGGACCCCACTTGCTAAGTTCCTAACTCAGTGAGACGAGATAGCGTGCACTCAGACTGGCAGGTCGGACAATTAATACGCAGGACCTCCTGACTGTCACCGACACCTCGGTCCCCTGACCTGGTTTCTGATCGGACGGGTCAACACCACAGCTCGACTTTATATCACTTGATTCAATCCGAGGGTTTGAACCCTTCACCATCTGGAATGCCGCTCAGTCAGCAAGACTTCGCCAAATCCGAAGGACTATAAGCCACCAACAATCCTACGAGAGCCCCGTTTCGTTCCTTCACAGACACCCAAGTCAAGCGGAAGCAAAACGGAGTGGTTTGCGACAGCTGCCTGGACTGAACGGACGCCGCAGTGAGCTGTCAAAATGAGCTTTCTAAAGCCACACAAGAACAGAGAAAGAAAGAAAGCACTTTCCGTCAGCCAAAGAGGAGGTGGAAAAGAGGGTCCGCAAAAGGAGTGTCCGTTCACAGCCAGTTTGCAATCCGGATGATCTCGCTTGAGGTGTACTCCCTTTCGAGTGTTTCATGATCACGCCAATGACCGCCCTGCCCACTCATTGATGAATTCTTGACTTCAGGTAAGAAAGAAAGGGAGTTGAATCCGGGTTCCTTTACCTCTCGCTTCCCCCGCTGCGGAATCGTTCACATAAGGGAATGGGCAGTCGTCGGAGCCGACGCGAGGGTTTGCCGCCGCACCCCGCCTGTACAAGGGGACCCGTCGAAGTTCTGCTTATGGATGCGTGATGCGGTATAGAGTCTGATTGAGCCACTTGTTGACGGTCAAGAAAACTGATGCGAAACTTGTCTGATTACGCCCCTTGTTGACGAAGTAGGGTCAAGAGATTTGGCCACGTTTCAAAAGCTAAGCGGGATCCCTATTGGAACTGCGGTGATGTCACCCTACAGGCGACTTTCATCAAAATAAACGAGATGCCGTGCGAGATTTTATATGACAACGGATACGTCTTAGCCTTCAGGGTATGCGGCTTCTGAGTTCTTCGATGCCAACCTAATCTGTGTTGAAAGCAGAGTGACGTCAGTATCCAGAGTTAGTGCCGTCGCAACAGGAGGCCCCATTAGAACTTGTTCTGTACACACAGAAAGTGCCGAGACTCGACTAGAAGTTACTGACGGAAGAACACCATCTTTCACCCATAAAGCACTTCGATCTTTGGACAGCCGCCTGCGAAAAACATCGAGAAATTCATCGGCGAAGAGCAGCTGACGTGACCACGTGACCCGGCTGACGTGTTTTGCAGACGACGCAAGCACGGAAGATCGCAGCCCTGCGATTGCGGATACGATTCCATAAGATCTGATCTTGAGAACCCCTTCACTGGGCTTTCACACCCGCCGTCGGACGAACTTCAAAGCCGACCGTGGGTACGATACTGCCAAGCCGGGCCTAAAACGACTGACGTCAGTCAGATGATCGCGTGAGAGGAGCAGACATGATCCCCATCTTGAAGCCCGGCGCCCAGAATTTGAGAACTTTGTGCCACAAGGGGCTCGAATTGTAGTAGGATCCACTGTTTCTGCGGCTCCTGCCTAACAGCCGTTCAGTGGACTCTCAAGAAACTAACGTTGTAAGTGAGCCGAAGACGGTTGAGAGCCACCCCACCTCAGCCGTGCGCCGAAGATCCTCAGAAGCAGCGCGGTCGGGTTGGCGGTCAACTCAGCCATTGCGGGGCCGCATGAAGTTGAGCAGCGCTGTCGCCTGCCGCACCGTAGGGGCCGCCCGATGCCTTGATCCCGCGTCCGGCCGGAAGGTAACGACGAGAAAATCGTCGGGCTGCAGAAGGAATTGTAACGGCATGCGTTCGGAAGGGGAGACGGGTGGGCCGTTAGACGAAGTGGGTGGCTGAAGAAAGAAGGAGTCTGCGCTACTTGAGCAAGTGCCTACGGCTTGGGCTGCTTTCCTTGACTCCCAGTTCTTCTTTCTCTTTCTTATTCATTGCTAAAATGAATTCTCCTTTTACTTCCGACAGTCGTAGGGATTCTCAGGGGCCTGATGCAACAGCGTCACAAGTGATCGATGATGAGACGCCCGCTTCCGTTTGGTCACCCTCTCAACCAGACGTCTTCAAACATAGATCAACTCTTCCAAGCAGACTTAGCGTCTCTTTCCGTGGTATCTCAAAGTAGGCATCAAACATGCCTGTTCGGTTGCCAACGCAAGTTCGCGATTTGAAAATCTCACAAAATTGCCATGAAGACCCGTGACAATCAGATCAGTGTTGTCATTGGCCTTAGCAGCTCAAGACAAGTCCCTGTATCCACCCCCACTATATGCAGACAAGCCCTTGAGCTTCGAAGGAACGCTTCCAAAGGTAACATTATTCGTTTGTAGGACCTCGGGTTGGCTCACTGGGTTCGACAGCTGGCAGCACGAGCTTGCCCTCATTCTGGACATCGATCGTGAAGCTGCGCGCCCCCGGTTGTCCTACTCCGCTTGGGGGATCCCTCTGCAGGCTACTCCATCTGAGAAGTGACGCCAGACCGGAGCCGAGAGCGATGCCCAGGACAATAGGCTGCAGGAGATGGCGGCGACAAAGCTTGAGCGCATCGTCGTTTCTCTTCTTTCCATTTCAAGGAAAGTCTTCATTACTGACCTGAGTCTGCAGCAACCAAAGAGCCGAAAGCAAGGAAACAAGGACCGCTACTTCTTCATCTCTGTCCCTGTCGTCTCTTGCCGTGATCCCTTTTTGGTGAATGATCCTGGACTCAGGCAGAGCTTCGAGAATCAGCAACAATAGCTTGCCACTCATGGCCGTCTCAATGTGAACTTGGTTGGCAGCTAACATCCTCAGTTGCCAAGAAGGACGTTGCCTAAGATTTTGGCATCTTTCTTCCAGGAGAGGCGTAGAAACAGGATTGAGATCCTTGCGAAGGCCAGCCGCAAAATCCTGGATTTTCAAAGGTCAGAAGCTTCCAGATACTTCCCGTTGACATTGCATAACGTTGTACAAAGACGGACCTTTCAACAGGCGTTCTGCAGTCATGAAGCTAGCATCACCCTCAATCACATCGTCGATTTCGTTTTGCACCGGCCAGACAGCTCATTGTGATGATAGACATGCCGAAGTTGGCGGTGACCGTGCGAGAGTGATTCTAAGCACCCCACTGTGTTGCTTGAACAAGTCTGGGGCTTGACCCTGGAGAGCGATTGAATGTTGCTGGGAAACGCTCATCTCCTGCCCTCTGATTGGATAAGTGAAGCTTCTCTGATATATGCACTATGGCCCTAGGCTGCACTTACTTTCACGTTCCACAATGAAAAAGCATGATTCGGATTGAGAATGCAGTTACTCACCTTCAACTTCTTCAGCAACGCTTGCATTTCAGCAACGCTGGCAGCCCCCCATTCAGCTCCCCCTGTCGGCTGCCTGGCAGAGGATTGCAGCTGCTTACAGCGTTTGGAGCAGGCGTTCAGAACCAACTCCCGCTGGGCCTCTGCTGTCTTGCTCCTATGAATGGCATCCAGCACAAGCTGTGCTCAGCGAGTCGTGTTCCCAAATGTTCCTCATCTGCAAAGAGCTTGCTTGCATCTAAAGAAGTACATGTCCTCTCTATCGCAGACTGCTGTGACTCCATTGAGCTGTCCGTCCTACTGCTCTTCGATTTTCAAGAGCTGCCCCTTCAGCCCTCAACATAGCACTTATTCTCCGATCTAAAAAAGAAGAACCTGACCGAGCTAGAGGTCCAAGGCCTCAAGAAGTTTGGGTCCCGTTCTGCTTCTTTATCCACCCGTGGTACCTATGGACAAGTTTAGGCCAGACTTGGAAGTACATTTCAAAAGCGGATGAGCGTCGTACTTGTCAAATGAGCTGGGGGCGTGATAGTTAAATAGGGGCATGAACGTCAAAGAGGCGCCTCTTATCCATTCGTAAGATTTGAGTAGGTACCTTTGTAGTACCTAGTATCTCTCTAGCTGTCAGGCAAGCCGCAAGCAAGGCTTGATGGATGCTGTGTCAGTGGCGAACGAGATCCATTAAATCTACTGTATAGAAAGAGCAACAACAAATTTTCGAAATTTGAACCGCATTCCTCAACGGAATGGCCCGTGCAAAGTGCCGGTTATTGGAAAATTTGCCGTTTTTCCCAACCTGACAGCGTTTCCGCTGCTAAAACTCGATGCCGGTGTCAGGTCCCATCGAAGGAGGCGTCATGAGGTGGACAGAAATTTGTGGATTTTCCAAAATTTTGGGCGCCCTTCATTCTCTGATTCAATTTCCAAACATTCTGAAGTGCACGATCGTCTCCAACTTCAAGTTCAGCTTCAAGACCAAGCTACCTACTAGCTAGTGCTCTCGAACATGGCGCTCAGGGACGCTCAAAGACTTCACAAGCTGGTCTAGACTGACAGTCTTCCTGCCAGGAAGTCATCTGAGCCTTTCAGTTGATGGATTAGATGTCACCGCTCCCCCCGCACCTCCTGTAGCTACTCTGTCTTAAAGAAGAAGCTGACACAAGAATGGTCGTGGGAGATCCTTCATCCAGCAAGATTGAGAGATTTTAGGCTCGCTGATGCCAGCATCAAGGTTTTGAACACCTTGGCCCTCCTGCCCCGATAATCTCCTTGTAGCAGGATTACGAGAAACGGTTGCTAATGGCGTCCAATCCAGGTCAAATGGGGACCCCTGCCTTCGGCAACCCCGGCTCTGTTTCTCACAATCAGCTGACACCAGACGCCTCAGGCCGCGTGTCCCCCATCCCATTCCCCGGTTTCACCTCAGGATCCACCCCCGGGCATCCCAGCACCCCCGTTCTAGGAGGCATAGCGCCTGGGTTAGCGCCCGGGTTAGTGACACCCCCCTTTTCCACTGTCACGCCGTCCACTGATCGCTTGCCGGGGCTCTCGGCATCCGCTAACCTGCGTGGATTAACCCCAAACCAGCGCACCCCCACCCCAGGCCTCCCCCCCCGCCCCACCCCGCCCTCCGGCCTCCCCATCCGGCCCCCTGCAACTGCAAGCCCTCTCGGCACTCCGGCGCTCCGACCGGGGGTAGTGGGAGGCACTCCGAGCAGATTCTCTACCCCACAAACCGGACCAGCGACTGGAAAGAAGCGGGGGCGGCCCGGGTTAGGAAGCGGGATCACCGTGGTTAAGACAGCAGAAGCGCTGCCGGCAGCCAAGCGGAAGAAGAAGAAGGCGGCCGAGAAGCAGATCCCGGAGCGGATCGCGGCGTTCGTTCCGGAGAGCCGGCTGTACTCGCAGCTGTTGGAACTAGAGAAGCGGGTCGACGCGACGATCGCGCGGAAGAAGCTGGACATCCAGGAGGCGCTGAAGATCCCGCAGCGGACGGCGCGGACGCTGCGCGTGTACGTGTTCAACACAAGCGCGGACCAGCCGGCGGGGGGGCGAAAGAAAGCCGCGGCGAAGATGGTATGGCAATCTGGTCATATTTGCTGTCTTTCAGCCCCACCAAAAGGAAACTAGTGTGGTAAATTGGTCCTATGCGCTGTTGTTTGTTCCTCGCTTTGCTTCTCTTGGGACTGCGGTTCCCAACTCAGTGTGTTGGCATCTTATGGACGTCGTTCTGTTCCTCCGTTGTAAATTCAAAGGTAAAATGGAGGCCTCTGTTTAGCACAAAGCAGGTGCACTGAATATTGGTTGTTTGAACAACGAGCAGATCAGTGCGTTTGATTATGTTAAGTCAGTCCTCTTGCAATTATGCGGCCCTCTTTTTCTTTCTTGAGGTACATAACCAGATGCAAGGAGGGACTAAGCGGTTCTCCTTCCTTTTTGATGGGACCACCAATCTAAGACGGTTGCGGAAGTCATGCTGTCTTCTGGGGGATTCGCAAGAAACACCAACCTGATGCTTTTTCGTCCATCGAGGTATACTGCTGTTACGGCCCTCCTAATTTTGATAATGGTTCACCTCGGATCGCCCCTTACAAATCTGAGCACGCTTCCCAGACGAATGTGGCTTCCCGGGAGCAACCAGAAAAGTGTCTATCCCAAACGTGCCGTTACGACCCAGTCTTTGATCAAGAAGTGTGAGGCGTTCTCGTTTTGCTCTGTAGGACCCTCCTTCATGGACCCTTCACCTCACAGGCCGCCTCCTCGCACCCCCGCAAACCCCTCCAAACCCACAAACCCCCTCATTACTCCCACGCACCGAAGACCCCAAATTCTCATCCTTCTTCAAAAAGATCACCATCGAGCTCGACAAAGAGCTCTACCCGGAAGAGCACACGATCGTGTGGGAGGGCGCGCGGGCGGCCGGAGACACTGACGCGTTCGAGGTGAAGCGGCGAGGGGCGCAGGAGTTTGTGGCTAAGATCACGCTCGAGATGAACTACGTACCGGAACGGTACAAACTTGCGGAGGGGCTCGCGAACCTGGTGGGGATCGAAGTGGATACGCGGCCACGCATCATTGCTGCGCTCTGGCAGGTGATTACGGCGCCTCTCTTTCCTTGTTGCTTCTCTTCCGGCACACGTTTTCTGTATCCCCTCTCCTCTTCTTTGATTTTGCATTTTCAAATTTTTCTATGTTCTTTCTCTTCTTTCGCTTTGCTTCACCTCAATCCACTTCGCTTTTCTTCTTCCATCTTTTTTCTTCGTCTTTCGGGTCGGCGGCTCTTCACTTTGCTTTTCGTCTCTCCTCTTTGCTTGGCTTTCTCTCACTTTCCTTCGTCCATATGCATTCGCTCTGGCAGATCCAGTCATGGCACTAGTATTTTTCCTGCCCTTGTTCAGGTTTGATTCCCGCCCTTCATTCCTTTACCTTTTCGCCGTTGGGGTGATGCAGCTCAGCCTATTCGCTCTTTCTCTTCTAATGCTCAGAAACGAGGTGTCAAGAGACGACGATCTAATAGTAGTGGAAGTTCACCCGGCTTTTGAAACAAGTCTTCCTTACAGTACATTTTAAACTAGATGCAGGACCATGGATACGGTACAACACGGGGTGCACTCATGCGCACGCACTCCGGGTCTTTTAAGACGCCCTGAGCCTTTCATACCCTATCCCACGAACTAAAATCCCAATCGTTTTGCGATATCTCCCGCAGTACATCAAGGAGAAGAAGCTGCAGGACGGATCGGACCCGACGTGCATCAACGCCGATGCGCCCCTGCGCGCGCTCTTCGGGCCCGAAGAGAAGCTCAAGTTCGCGGGGCTCGCGCAGAAGCTGACGCCGCACCTCGCGCCCGCGCCGCCGATCGTGATCGAGCACCGGGTCAAGCTGGGGGGGCAGAAGCGGACCGCTGACGTGTGCTATGACATCACGGTGAGGCGTCAGGAGAAACACTTTCTTCTTGGTAGTGGACTACTGGAGAGTAAGCAAAGGTCTATTTCTTTTCCACCGCACCCGCCAAGTTTAGAAGCGCCATTCTTCTGCCATGCAAGGCTGCCGCTCTTTTCCCCCGACTCATAGCCGAAACCTCTGATTAAAACGCTGTAATTTTCGCCTCGAGAATGCTCGCGCTTACACTCGCTTCCCACCGTCTTCGCCTGGTGGGACGCTCTTGCCCCTGTGAAGCCGCTGCTTTTATCTTCGAACCCCGCTAGCCCCTCTCAAAGGCGCTACTTCCATGCTGTTGAGCACCGCCTCGTTGTCAAGGTCGACCTTCGTGCCTTTGCAGTCCGGTTACGGTCCTCTTACATGCAGTAAGCATTTGATGTTACGCTTTGTCGAGGGCATTCATTCCTGGGGGGTATATCGGGATGGCATCTCAGCATGTTCCCACTCCTCATCATAAGCGGTCCCTGTAGACGCCCTCGTGCTCTGTTAACATAGCAAGCACTCATGCCGTATCCATGTAAGCTCCCAGCAGGGATCCACTCCTTGTCAATAAGCGCTCCCCCCTTATTCCAGGCGGACGCCCCCGTGGCTCACCAGCGCAAGATGGCCGCGTTCCTCTTGAGCCTCGAAAAGCACCGCGACATCGAAGGTAGGATTTCGCAGTTCACGCCCCTACTTTCGCAGTATCAATATACGTGGCCGGTCCTTATTCATAAGCTCTTCTTCCATATCATAGGTCGACGCCCCGGTGGCCCTCCAGCGCGAGATGGCCGCGTTCCTCTCGAGCCTCGAGAAGCACCGCGACATCGATGCGCAAGACTCCGCGATCGCGGCCGCGATTCGGAAGATCAACGAGCACCGTCGGCGGCGCGCGTTCTACCTCGGCTTCAGCCACTCGCCCGTCGATTTCATCAACGGCGTGATCGCGTCGCAGACGCGGGATCTGAAGCTCGCGAACGGGGAGACGGGGCGGAGCCTGGAGCGGGAGCGGCGGTCCGACTTCTACACACAGGCCTGGTGGGTTAAGGTCGTTATGAATTGTTGGTTAAAGATTTATCGGTATAATGGGGTTCCGCACTCTGCACGCCATGGCACCTGGGGTAGTTGCATTGCAGACGCGTCTGCAATGAATTGAAGGTCGCCAACAGGTGGACGGGCCGACTTTTGGAGGATTGGAAGTTTGCTTGTTCTGGAGAATCAAAGTACTGGGGTTTGGACTTTAGTGTTTCAAGGCATCTGTGGTGGTTGCGACTGGAGCCGCGGGACATAACGCTGCTCTCGAAGGGGATTCAGGTTGAAGTGCGGTGTTTTGTACACGTGGGTTTGGTGTATGCTGGGCCTACAAAATTTTCCGGGTTTTCGTGATACAGATCTGGGTTACAGGCACGGGTTTTCAAATTGGCGACCGGGCAAACTTTGTATTGGGCACACTTTGTACCAAGTTTGAGTACCGGGCGGAGTCTGGCGGGAGCGCCGGTCGGACATAAACACGCACATCTGAGGGTGCTGTCGAAAGGCTGCCGAAGAATGTGTTGTGTTGAGCTTTTCCGGCCTTCTGGATCTGGTAACGCACGGATTCCGAATCTAGCAAACGGCGAAAACGCTCTGTGCGGGAAGAGCGGTCGATTCATACCTTGAAATGTGTGTTTACGTTGCCCTTCTTGGGAGACTGGAAAGCGGAGCGGACTTCAGACAAGCTTTGGGAATGCTGTCCAGAAGGCCGTCAGCGCATATTCAGCGAATCGCAATGTGTTATCCAAGCCAACAGCAGTATCCGTATCGTTTTGTTTAACGGTCTGGGAATCCTCCCAGTCTCTCAATCGTCACATGGGCTTTGTTTGCAGGGTGGAGGATGCGGTTGTGCGATACCTCAACCGGCGGTTAGCCACTGGGGCGGACAGTCAAGGGGGAACTTAATGCAGGCCTTCAGCTCTCGTACATGGTTATTCGACAAACCCTGATTGGGGTACTGCAACTTTGGAGTTTGAGCGAAACATTGATTTGGTTTTCCGTCCGATTCTTGTCAGGCTGATGATATCTGATTTCTCGTGTTTTCACGCCATGTTTAAACCGGTGTTCGCATGCAACGGATTCGATGGTAGCAAGAGTTAAAGCATGTGCAAGACATGTGCTTGTGGACGGACTATGTATAGCTAGCGCTTTAGTGTCCTCATAGTTGAAGCGGCTTTATATTCCAGTCGTGTACTTCTGGTTCGAACCGTCTTAGTGGTGTTTCTTGGGCTTGTCTGCGCAGCGCGGCTGATCCGGCCCTGAATCTCTTAGGATCAGGCTTGGTATTGGAATGATATCATTGCACTTGCGCGCATCATTGCATGTGCAGCAGTAGGCCGCTCGGCATGTGCTTAAAGACGTGATCACGGTCGACCGTCGCTCTTGATCAGAGTCACTGCTTGTCTAGCTATAGCTTCGGCCGGATTGCGTCATGTTCACAATCCACGCAATATCATTGCGAGTGCGCGTCGGACACTGCCCGGCGCGCTGGTACCGTATACACACATGATCTGCACGGCGGCCCGTATTCGTATGCTTGATTAACAATCCTGATATTGCACATTCCTTAACATCAGTGCGTTGTCGATTGCCGCAGCATGTAATGACTGGCCACTATAATACGTGTTCGATCAAATCCGAGGTATCCCGGATACCGTACGCGTCCGCCCGGCCGTTCCGTTAGGCGTTCGCGGCAGATTGCCCAGACCGGCGCACTGCAGCCTCCCAGTGACCGGTCCATATCCGATCCATTGAAGACCTTTCATTCTCATTCTGGTTATTTGACATCTTTGAACCTATTCCGCTTATCCGCTTATCCAACATCGTTAACGTCGCTCCAACTATCCAACACCGCGTCTGAAATTACCCCCCGCCGCCCTGGGGATCATCACCGGCCCTGATTGGACGTGCGATAGCTCCGCTCGCTCGTGGTCGACCGGGACCCCTGCGACGCCCGGCTGACCCGCCCGCCCCCCGACGACGCCCAGCTCCGGGAGGCCGCCACGTGGCAGCTTCCCGTCGGACGACACCGTGGGTCGCATTGGCGCGGCCGCGCGCGCGCGCCCGGGGGGCGTCGCCAGCTCGTCGAACGGCCGCGCGGCGCGGTTGTTGATCAGCATCTGGGGGCCGGGGGAGCGGATCCGGGGGGACGGCGCCCGCCTCGGGTTGGACGTGCCGAGAACCGGCAGCCGTTTCTTGCTCCCGCCGAGCGAGGCCGGGGGGCCGGCCTTGGCGGTCGGGGAGATGCCGGTGACGTAAGGGCTGACGATGCGGGCCGGGCTCGCCTCCTGAACGAGCGATGGGGGAGAAAGGCAGGTTCGGATGCATCTCTCGTTGGATGTCTTCCGTTCGTTTTCGAACGTCTGGGGTTAATAGCGGTCTTACAGATCAGGCGGAGGATCTGGACTCGAAAGCTGGCAGAACAAATGCCGCGGAGAAGGACGTAAAGCGAAGAGACCACACGCACTCGCAAACTCTATAAAGTCGTCAGAACGTTCATACTGAACACATCCGAAAGAACGGACGTAGTATGATTTTCCGGCTGAAGTCGAACGCGCGGGGTTGGAATGGGGTAAGCGGAAGACCGGTTCAATAAAAGAATGGACTCATCCGCATAATCCTGAAAGGGACTCTGCGTCCTGAGACTCTTGACGATCATGCCGACTGCTGTGTCAGGAGTTCGTTTCGAAGCGACGCCAGTTATTCTCCTGTCAGAAGGCTGCTCCTTCAACATCCGTGCGAGAAGGTAGGTGAGAGACGTGGTGATCGCTTCTGCGCACCAAAAAGTATTGACTGGAGCTAGCAACCATGCTGTTTCAATGGGGTGTTCGATACGTCTTCAAGACCGGCGGAAAGCCCAGTGCCCGTAAAGAATCACCTACCGCATTGCAGACCTGCGCTGCGACTTCTCGACCCTGCATTCAACGGGCCGAAGTGGGTTCTTCAAAAATCCTTCAAAAGTCTCTTCATCACCGGCTTTCGCAGACTGGGGGACAAACGGCGTTTCACCGTCCTCCTTCAGAGAATCCAGTCTTACCTCTTCTCGCGACGCCTGGCCCGGGCTAAAAGCGGGCGTGCCCACGACGGGGCCGCTCGGCGACGCGGCCGCGAACGCGCCAAACCCTGCGCTGAGCGATCGGGGGTTTCGCGTCGACGGGCTTCTGAAGGAAGATGTTCCCTCGAACGGAGCGCCACCTGGCATCTGGCCTAGGAGCGCGCGCATGCGCTCGCGCAGTCGCAGCCACATCACGTGGTTGCGCTCCTCCTCCATGTGGCTCGCGGCCGCGGCCGCGTTCTCGTCGCCGCGCGCGTCGGGCGGCTGCGGAACGTGGTGTGAATAGGCGTCAGCTTTGTGCCAAGTGTGCCGCATGGTTAAGAAAGCGAAGCACGAGCAGCAATGGCAAAGAAGTATCGCGAGGCAGGAGTATCGTTGTTGCAAGTCGGAGGGGTATACGCTTCTTGCCGGAGGATTGCTTTCTCAGATGGGCTTGATGGAAGTTTCTTTGGATATAATTGACTTAAAGAGAGATCTCACGATGATAGACCGTCAGCACATTGAATGGAACAAGCCTTCAATATCAGCGCTCGTGCGAGTGCGCTCACCCTGAAGTCCACGCCGGTCGTCCCCGCGGCCGCGCGCGCGTCGCCAAAAGGCTCCCCGGGGCCATTCCCCGGCAGCCCAAACGCCCCGGGCCCAATCACCCCGCGCGCTTTCCTGACCACTCCCGGCGACACAGGGCCCGGCGCCTCCCCGAAGAAGTCGCCGATGTTTTTCACCGCGACCGTGGGCGACTCCGGCGCGCCCGCGGCCGCGGCCGCGCCGCGCTCGGGCGCCTCGGCGCTCCCGCGCAGCGCGGCCGGGTCGTACTTCCAGGGGCCGCCGGCGGCGGGGTCGCGGCCGAAGGAAACGCGCGTGACGGGCGCGCGCTTGATGCGGCTGAAGAAAGTGACCGCGGAGACTTTCTGCGCAATGGACTGGAAGTGGGAGAGCGCATCGGGCGGGAGAGGGGGTTCCAGCGAGGTCGTCGGCAGGGGGCCCGCCATCCGCTCGGCGCCTGTGGAGGGAATGGACGGAATGAGGACGGAAAGCACGGTCGCAAAGTGCCACGAATCTAGAGTGAATCGTGCTCGGCGCCGGATTGACCAGATCTTTTCTCGATTGCCCGAAGCCCAAGATAGAACATTTATAAGAGTCTGCAGCTCAGGAACGAAAAGTCACTGATCGGGCTGTTGCGCCCTGCTTCCGCTGAAAAATACGACTCTGTTTTTGCCTCGCTTCTTGGGCGACCGCCCACAAATAGATTCCGAGAGGAAGTAGAGTCGAGCAGTTGTAGGTACACCTTGCGGGAATTGGATTTTGAGGTAGGTCAATTTAAAAGGTCAAGTGGTAGGCGTTCCGCCCGTGCCCTACCTGTTCCGGCGACTTCCGGCGGCGCACGGCCCGCGTATTCCGGCTCCAAGTCGAGGAGCACGTTGGGGTCCATTCCGTTGAGCGGGGGGAGCGGCTTTCCGTGCTTCTGGGCCCAGTTCCGCTGGCGCCAGAAGCGGAGCTGCTGCCGCAATTTGTTCTGCAACGGAAGCGGAGTCAGGTTCTTGCTTTCGCTTTGAAGAATGGGTCAAACTGAATGGCTCGCAGAATTTTTTCGGCTGCCCCTAGCGTGATCAGTGCAATTAGACACAGAACGTAAAGTGGCAACCAATGGGACTCAAGGGATTCTAGAATTCCCATTGTGGGTTGCGATCAAGCCGTCGAGATTGGCAACGGCTTCGTTCGTTCCCGTCTGCATAAGTTTACACTGTATCACTAGTTCACCTTCCACCTGAAACAGACCATTGATCCGTCTTTGCAGTTTTCGCTTGAACACACGTTCTGCTTTACGACATCATAAAAGGACACACGAAGGCAAACTGGTGTTGTCTCTCGACACGCTCCGCACTCTTCACACGAGATCAAGTTCCTCGATCACAGGCAGACTCCGAAATGCGTTGCGCGGTGCCCACTGCTTTTTCTATTCCGTCTAAAACGAGCACGGAGTCGACCCTCGCCACCGCAAAGCCGCCCCAAAAATACTAAGCATTTCGCTTGGTGGGACTAAAGTCACAAAACCCCTGAACCTTTGAACCCCAAATCCCTAAGATCTTTAACCTCTAGAAATCTTAAACTCATAATCCCAATCCGGCATGCATCCTAAACCCCTGAACCCGTAAGCCCCTGAGCTTGATATCACTGGACTCCTTTACCCTCAGGTTTCGAAATCCTGAAACACGTGAACGCCGAGAATCAAACCACGATTCCCGAAAGCCCTAAACCCCATAAACCCCGCTGTCGGAACCGCGGCCGCGCTCACCAGGTCCTTGCGCAGGCCCTTGCACTCCACCTCCTTCTCCTCGAACTTCTCCCGAAAGCCGTCGCCTCTAGTTCTTCCCCGGGACGGCTGCAAGAAGACAAAGCCGTTCGTTTGAGCAGATAGATACGCATCCTTTGGAGGCCAAGAATGGATGAAAATCAAGAAAGATAATGGAAGCCAGGGTAGAGTAAGCTCCAACTAACACTTAAGGCCCTAACCCACAAAGGTACCTGCTCCGCCCTCCTACCCAGACCAATCCCCGAACTAACCCTACCCGTCCCGATGCGGTTACCGTATTGACATCTATCTTAATTGTGATCTTTCTTTATTTCGATCAAACATGGGACGCCACTCCTCAAGCTTAAGACAAATGAGGACCCGATCGCTTAGAACCGTTCTGGGGTCAGACATGGGCGAAGGTGCCCGTCAAATAATTGTCGCAGACTCCTTTGATTTGGAACACCAAGAGCTTCCAAGAAGTGCTTGTTTGTCGAAATCCTACATCGCAGGCGAACAGTCTTAGCGGGCTACAAGCATCGCTCAGATACTTTGGTGTTCAAACCTGGTCCATACGATTCTGAACACCAAATTGTTCCGAACGGTTCCGCACACCAGGAATTTTGGTTTCGATGTTTGGGCTTCGTCCCGTCGCCGGATTGGAACCCTGTTTGACATTCAGGTCAGCAGCTCAGCAAAATGCGTTTTTTGACGGTCAGGAAGTTTTGGCCGCCGCCCGTCAATAAGGTGGACCTCCCTTTCAGATCCTTGTCATCCGAACAAGAAGATGCCAACTTGCAAAAGCCTGAAAGTTTCAAACCCTCAAACCCCAAAACCCCGAAACCCTGCGCACCGGCTGCAGCGACGCATCGTCGGCCTGCGTCGCCTTTTGGCGCATCCCATTTCAACCGGGAATGCCCACTCCGTATTCGTGATGAACAAAACCGTTGAATCCCAAACCCTTAAACCCCTTACGCACCGGTTGCAGCGACGCGTCGTCCGTCTGCGTCGCCTTTTGGCGCATCTTGGTCGACGCGAGGAGGCGCTGCAAAACGTTGTTGATCTTGGGGTCCCTGCTCGCGCGCCGCTCGCCGCGCTCGCCGCTCGACCGGCGCCGCCGCCGGTGGTGCCGCTCCTTGCGCGACTTGGAGCGCGAGACCTCCTGAAAGAGGATCACCTCGCTCTAGTTACTCTAGGTAGATTGATTCTTCTGCTCGTGGTGCAAGAAGCGCATCTTGTTAGCTCGCTCTAGTTTCTCTAGGTAACTTATTTTTCTTTCCGGTGGTGCCGCTCCTTGCGCGACTTGAAGCGCGAAACCTCCTTTGGGAAGCGCACCTTTTGAGCTCGCTCTAGTTCTCTAGGTACTTTACCTCTGTTTACAATGGTTTCTGCAATATGACCGCAAGTGATCGACGGTCTCTTGAGCCTTCGGATGCAAGCGAGGCATCCTTTAACAAGCCGGTTCTGCCGAGTGTCTCATTCTGTGACTGACCAACGGAAACGTATAAAGACCAACTCTGAAAAAGACGAAGACACAAGTGTTAAGTGTTGAGCAGTTTGATGTCTTTCTACAATCCTTCGGAAGTAGCTTGATTGGTAACTTAAGCATAATCATGTTGGAGTCCACTACTTGTTCTGAGGAGTTCTCAACCTTTCTTTACCCTTCTTACCTCTTTCTCGTTCGTCCCCCCCTCTGCGTCGCCTTTTTGTGCCGTCCCCGAATCATCCCCGCCCTCCCCACCTTCCCGTCTTCGTCGCCCTTTCTTTTTCTTCTTCTTTTTCCCTTCCCTTTCATCATCTTCACTAATCTCCGCGTCTCCTTCTTTTCCCTTCTTCCCTCCCTTTCCCTTACGCCGGTGCTCCCGTCGCTTTTCGCGGCGACCTTCCGAGTCAAGCCCGCCTGTCTCACGGTCGCCACTTTCCTCTTCTTCCGAGCTCTCCGCATCTTCCTCGCTTTCTTCGGATCCCGCGACCTTCTTTTTTCGCCTGCCTTTCCGCTTACTCTTCTTCTTCTTCGCCCGCCGAATAACCCGCCCTTGGTCATCCGTAACCTCCTCGATAAGCGGGTTACCTTCCCTGTCAAGCTCGTCGCTCCCGCTCTCTTCCTCTTCGGCCTCTATCCTCTTGACCCGCTTCTTAACCCGCCTCTTAACCCGCCCAGTTTTATCCGTGAATTCTTCCAACACAACGTTTCCCTCCTCGTCAACCGCGTCGTTCTTGCCTTCCGGTTCCGCCTCTTCCGATTCCGTTTCCGTTTCCGTAACCCTCCTCTTGACCCTCTTTTTCTTCTTGGCGCGCCGCCTAACCCGCCCGCTCTCGTCAGCAACCTCCTCAATGACGACGTTCCCGCTGGAGTCGACCTCGTCGCTCTCACTTTCTCCACTAACCGTCCGCCTGACCTTCTTCTTAACCCGGGTCCTTACCCGCCCCTCAGGATCCATCACCTCTTCAAGAATGACGTCACCATTCTCGTCCAGCTCATCATTCTCCCTCTCCGCTTTCCGCCGCCCTCTTTTCGGTTTTTTCTTCTTCCTAACCACCCTCCTAACCACCCCGTTCTCGTCCACAATCTCTTCGCTAACCTCACCCGCTTCCGTGACGTCATCGTCGTCTACATCTTCATCAAAGACGTCATCCGTCCCGCTGACCTCGGCGTCCGACCCGTCCCCCGATCTGATTCGTCGCCGGGGCTTGGTTCTCTTCTTAACCTTTTTCTTGACCCGCTTCTTAACCCGCCCCTCCCCGTCCACGAACTCCTCCAAAACCACGTTACCGTCCGCATCAAGTTCGTCGTGACTATCGGACCCGTCCGAGACCGTCCGCCTAACCACCCGCGCCTTCCCCGCCTTCTTCTTCGCCCGGCGCTGCACCCGCCCGCTGCTGACGTCAGCCACCTCCTCGATGACGACATTCCCGTCGACGTCCAGCTCGTCGCTCCCGCTGTCAGCCGCCGATCCGACCGTCGCCCTCTTAACCCGCTTCTTAACCCGCCGCCTAACCTGCCCCTCCGCGGTCACAACCTCCTCAATGACCACGTTCCCCTCCGCATCAACCTCGTCATTCCCGGCGATCTCCGCCGTAACCCACTTCTCAACCCGCTTCCTCCCGGCCTTCTTTTTCGCCCTCCGCTGAAGCTTCCCGGTTACGGTAACCACTTCTTCGATAACCGGATTGCCCTCCGCGTCTACTTCGTCGCTTCCGCTGCTCGGAAACGACTCCTCGACTCGCCTAATCCGCCTCGCTTTCTTCTTGACCTTCTTCTTAACCCGCCTAACCTGCCCGTCTTCTCCCACAACCTCCTCCGTAACCTCCTCCTCCTCGTCGCTCTCACTCTCCGGAATCTCCCTAAACCGCCTCGCTTTTTTCTTCTTAACCACCTTCTTAACCTTCTTAACCTGCCCGTCTTCGCCCATAACCTCCTCGATCACCTCCTCTTCCTCTTCGCTCCCACTACTCGGGCCAGAGCCCTTGACCTGCAGCACTTTCTTCTTAACCACTTTCTTAACCCACTTCTTGACCTTTCTTATCTGCCCATCTTCCCCGATAACCTCCTCAATAACCTCCTCTTCCACTTCTTCCTCGTCCGAGTCAGACTCGGTCTCGCTGTACGTCGCACGCTTCTTCTTCTTCACCGGCTTTTTCACCGGCTTCTTGACCTTCTTCTTAACCCGCTTCCTGACCACCCGCCCATCTTCCTCGACCTCTTCCTCTTCTGTGCTGACCTCATCGTACGACGTGCTGACGTCACTGTCCGAGTAGTCGCCGGATTCCTCGGACGAATAGTACGAGCTCTCCGAGCTGGGGGGGTCGGAATAGCTGCCGCGGGCGCCCCCCTTCTTCACCGTTTTCTTCTTCCCCTTCTTTTTCTTCTTCTTTCGCACGCCGCTGACCCGAGACGAAGTGGCCGCACTCTCTATAGCTGCATAAAAACACAGATTTACTGCTTTGAGTTCTGTTTGGATTCCATTTTATCTGTCTGTGCTTCCTACTTTTCATTTTCCGCACGGAGAACGTGTTACGTCAAACCTGCCGGCTCGTGATCAAAGCATCGTCAACCTACTTTGGACTAGTCAAGCGACCTTGACGTCAGCATGAGATCAGCCCTCCATGGACCTGCTGTCGCCAGAAATTCCCGCGATCGAAAGGCTCTTCGTAAACCCGACCGTGTCTCCAACGTACTGGTTCAGTTTTCCTCTGCGGTCATTTGTGACGAGGTCGTCTCTTTGACCTAGTCAAACTCTTCCATTGTGTCGACAGAGTATCGGTGTAAGTCAACGGGCACTTATGTGAGTTTGCGTGCTTGAAAATGAAGGGCGTGAGCGTTACAAGGGTCCAAATCGACGTCAACCGCAGTGAGGTAAGAACCCTGACTCTGTCGTAAGACCGGTCGGGAGTCTTGTTCTGACCGGAAGTCCAAGGTCAAATTGTGCCCTACGTGCAGTTGGACATAGCTAACGACTTTGAAAGACCGATCGAAGAGGCCGAACAGAACATTTCAACGGTCTTTCCAGCTGCAAGAGAGAGAACAGTTCTGCACAAGACAGTGCTCCCTCCGCGGTTGAAAGAGGGAAAACACGAGCTCTGAAAGAAAAAGAAAAAGTGTTAACGAGCTTCTTACCTTCCCGCCTCAGTTTCTCCCCCTCCTGCAACAACTGATGGAAGCCCCCTTCCTGCAAACAGGCGTTGAGTAGAAACCGTTGTGACCGTGTTCTTAACACTTCCTTTGGCAGTTTTGAATGCAGAGTCTAAGGTACAACTTGAACCCTTGTCCTCAAACAGCAACCCTCCGAGTTCCAGGACAAGAGTCGAAGACTGCCAGCTGGCTTATGTTAAGGAAATGCTTTCCGCATTTGCTTCTGGCTCGTCCAAAAAGGCACCTGTCACCCACACGTTCGGGTCCCACCAAAATGGAAAACCTGTCAGAATCCGTGGAAGGAGAACGTGGACTCCAGTTTTCCATTCTGGACACCCACACTGGTTGGTATCCGGTGCGCGCGCGACTCAGAAGACTCGATTACGTTCCACATCATCCGGTTACTTGCTTGAGGATCCGGGGACCGGAACCACTTTCAACATGCCGCTTGTTTGAGCCCCCGGTCAGAGTCTACTTCGGTCCGCCGACAGCAGGAGTAAGAGGTTACGTTACTAGGGGGCTACCCTTGAATCACGGGTGTTAGCCGGAGTTTTCAGCTGCTCGCGCATAGGAGTACCAAAAGATATGGGGGTCAAAAACGAAAACTGGAGTCCACGATCTCCTTCCACGGGTTCTGTTAGCTTCCAAGTGAACACCACCTGAAGGAGTTGTTCAGGATGCTCAAAGCTGGACATAATGCCAAGAGAAGTAAGTGCTAGTCTAGCAACATAAGGCTACTAAACCCGAAAATTGGGACTCGATTCCACCCACCAGGTTCGCAACCTCCCCCATGCAGTCCGTAACGCGGCCGCCCAAGATCTCGTACTCGGCTTCCTGCAAAAACAACGAACTGATCAGCCAGAACTAAAAGGGACGCGCCCGAATTGGGCGACCAGATAATAGGTGCGCAACCTGGGCTTGTCGCCCTTTTTTCCTGCGCCGTAAACTCTACCGAAAGCGGAGGGTGTTTCATATCAAAATGGACCTCGAAACTGGACGTGGTAACTGAAGTTGGTAGCCCGAAAGCGTGGTCGTAAAATGCGACGTCAGCAGAAAAATGTGTCTGACGAGAACGACGGAGCGCGGGGGATGTGGCCCGTAAATATTATAGCAACCCTGACCGCGCTAAGGCAACTTTGCCCACGCCCTTTTAGCACACGACGCGAAGAACCTCAGGGTTCTGAGGGAGAGTAGGTCAATCGTGCCTTTGACTTCGTAAACAGAATGAAGTGTTTTCCAGTAAGCTGTCGGCCGGCAGCCCCTGTGTCGAAGAGAGCGAATTCACTGCGAAGTTTCTACTCTCTGCAAGATCGAACACTTGGTCTGCCGAGGGCGGTGCTCCTTTCTAGAGGTGCCGGAAAAGATCTTCAGGCGTGAATTGGCTAAGCAAATGAGAGAGACGCCCGTTGTTCGTTTCGAGCGAACTGAAGGGACTGGATCATTCTTTTGAAGCACCTCCATTGTGGGCCTGACGATGATTGTCCTTTTTCACCATTTCCCAAAAAGCCAATCCGAAAGACTGGATTTCCAGTCCGGAAAGGCGTCGGACCCTCACCATATCGCGGAGCTTCTTGATGTGCTGCAACAGCTGGTCTTCCTGCGGCGCGCAAGTGAACGATGATGAGAAACAAGAGTCAAAGTTTTTTTTTTTCTTTTTCTTTTTTCTTTTTTTTCCTTTTTTTTTTTCTTTTTAGATACCCATAACAGATCAGCATCCCGCGGCACGTAACACAGGGGGACCAAACCCCACTCAGAGTGCCGGAACCATGTTTCGCGCCGTCCGATGAGCTTTGTCTTGAATTGCACGCTTTAGATTGCACCAATTGGTGTCCCGAGCTCAGCGTGTACCTCGGTTCGCTTGGAAAATGGGTCTAGTAGTTGTTTATCAAGTAGTTAGAGAAGTTTTGCCTGATTAACCCTCCTTAAACAGTCCAGAATAGCTCCTAAACCCCTTGTTGCCCCAACCCAAAATTCAAGAGTTACAAACAAGACCCTTGGAGGTTTGATTCCACCAATTTCCGGCTTGGGGCAATTAGGGGTTTGGCTGCTGGCACGTGGTTCAGTATGCAAACCTATTTACCTGGGGCGTTTGGTCCCCCTGACGTAACACAACCTGTCTCGTGGCCCAGAAGTTGCCATCACTTCAATTTGAACCACCGTTCGCCTTTAGTTTTGAACATCTGAGCTTTCACGGATACAACTGCTTTGGCTGGTCTTCCGGAGAGGGTTTGTTGGTTAGTTTAACAAGCAGTCTTCACGAGGGAACGCAAGGTTCATTACCGGTTTCAAGGATCGGAGCCGTAAAAAAGGTGTAGCAAATGCGTCAGCGGAGCCGAGCTAGCGGCCTGCGGCATCGAGAACTATCCCGAAACGCATTCCCGTTCCTGGAGACTTCTCGTCTGCCGGCTCGAGAAACACAAAAGCAAAGTAGAACATACGAGAAGGCCGATTGAAACATAACAATCGGGAAGAAGCAGACACAGGGACTGAACTCGCAGTGTCGAACAAGGAAAAATCGGCATGAATGAACTCAGCGTAGTGTGCGGCAAAAAGAAGCGAAAGATGCGAAGGGCATATGAGGACCCCGGGAATCCGCTGCAGAGGTTGCGCGCGATTGTGTGCGCTCACTATCAGGTCGCCGCCTTTGTCGGTCAGCCGCTTCGCCGCTTCGAGCTCCGCCCTCCGGTTGAGCAGGTAGTTCTGCGCAGATTCAATTGTCATCAAAGTTCGCAACAGACCTTGAGTTTCCGGCAGACCCGCAGGAACTATTGCTGGCCTGAACCATCCAATCAATATCTTATTGCAATTGCGCAAAGAATGTGGTCTACTACTTACAAGTTCTGAAGCCACCCAATCGCGCAGAGAGTCCATTGGCGGTCTGCGGACTGGTTTCTCTCCAAAACGTCTAGCAACCACAACTTCAACACAGAGACTCGCAAGCCGCATCTCATGTCGGGAAACCACTAGCAATCGCTCATCTCACTGCAAAATCTCATCACATCCCGCTTATTCCATTTCTTAAGCGTAGCCGCATACCCCTTCTTCATACACTCGGCCACAGCACTATTGCGCGCCCCGCAACGCGCCACCTCGCGCGCTCCAATTCCCAGCCCTCACCTTCTCCGCGTACAAGTGCGAGAGGCGCTCCGCGAGGTCCTCCTGCGCGAGCTGCAGCGCCATCGCGGGCGAGTTGGGCAGCCGCCAGTCGCCGCCGGCCGCGGCCAAGTCGACGCCCAAACCCTCCGCGCCCGCCTGCGTCGCGGCCGCGGCCGACGGGTCGCCGTCCATGGTCGCGATGTCGCCTGCAAAGTAGATACACGCGTCTGCGTTGCGGAGAAGGAGGAGGGGGAACGTAGCAGAGCCCGGACAGAGAGAAAGATTCTTCGCACACTCGGAACCGGGGTTGCTGTTGGACGGTGTCGGTATCGGAGTCTGATGCCACGGGGGGTCCCTGCAGTCCTCGATGCTTTTTCAAATATAGATTGTTGACTTTTGAGCAATGCCTCGGAAAACACACGGCGTAACCTGTGCTGGTACAGCTCAAAGTGTCACTTGAAACCGTCAGATCGAGTTTCTCGAGACCATCCGACGATTGGGACCAACTTAAAAGCCCCGTCCCTACGTCACTGACACCTGTTAACAGTGTCCCCGGACCCGATTTGCGAAGCCTGTTTCTCCTTGCCCTAGCAAGGTGGGTCTGTGGGTTCCGACGGTTAACGGGCATCGAGAACTTCGCAGTCCGCACAGAGTAACGATCCTACTTTGAGCACGGCTATCTCTATCATTCATCTCTCCGGTTCTGCACGTTGCCGAGAACCTGGCCACCTCGTCCGGGCGCATTGCGGGCCGGTGGAAAAATGTGGCCGTACGTTGGCTCGTTCTTGATAAAAGAACGGCTTAAGTAGACAACTTGACTGAAGCTCTACGTTACAGAGCGGCTGGGCAATCCGGAAATCCTTCAGTACTGAAAAGTGATGGGCCCTTTTCATCGAAGCAGCCGGGGACTGGTCCCCGTATACAAGGCTCACTCAACTTCGGACTAAACCTGCCACCCGTGAAAGGGGTTTTCTCGCCACATTAACGATCTTCGACCGTTCGGCTGACAGAGTCGGCTAGGTCAACGTCGGTCTGAGATAAGGCGACGAAGGTTGACATTGGAGAAGGGGAGTCACAAGTTTGATGCGAACAGCTGTAACATACAGCTAGTTGCGTCAAAGCTGCCAGTGGCTTTCAGATGCTCCGCATAGGTCCTGATCTTCGACCATCCGATCGACGACGACGAAGGCATCGAACGGCTCAAGATCAGGAACCATGCTTGGGGTAATTGGAACCCGATGGCAAGTTTGACTCAAACAGCTGTAGAAACGAAGCCTTGTTACGTTAAGCAGCGGCTCACCGAGCTTCATGAGCCAGTCGCGCACGCTGCGCAGACCAACGGTCTGCCGGTCCACGTGCAGGCTGCCCGCCTGCAAGCGCAGAGTGGGGTTTTCGCGTTGTGGGATTTTAGGGTTCGGGCTTTAGGGGTTAGGGTGGATCTGGCGTTTACAGTACGAGCAATGTAGGCGCTACGGAGTACGTGCGGCTCGGCCAACAGCTCCACAATTCAACCTCTCCAACAGAAGCCCTTTACAAAAATGCACTTCGCCTCCCAGCATCAAGGCCCTCAAATCCTTAATTATATGCAACAAGATCAAAAAACGGAAATCGTCTTCGATCTTGGTTACGCTAACCCACCAGCTTCCGCGCGTGCTTGATCAGCTTGCTGGCCCCCCCCTGCACGGCCTCGCCCTCCGGCTCGAACGTCACCCGCCGGTTTTGGCCGCCGGCGGGGGGTGCTTCTTCCCGCTGTCCCGTTACCCCCTCCACGAGCATATCCGCATACAGCCCCAGGCGCGACATCGAGTCTTGCATCAGCAGGGCGTATTCCGAGAAGGTCATCTCCGGACGCTGGTCCGGCTTTTCGGCGTCTTTCTTACCCTTGGAGCGCTTGCGCCCGATCTCGGCGTCCTGCAGGGCGGAATCCGGAGGGGAAATGTTAGTTGGAAGAACGGAACCCAGCAGAGCGTATTTCGAGAAGGTCATCTCCGGACGCTGGTCCGCCTTTTCGGTGTCTTTCTTGCCCTTGGAGCGCTTGCGCCCGATCTCGGCATCCTGCAGGGCCGAATCCGGAGCGAAAGCTTTAGTCGGAAGAACGGAACCCAGCAGAGAAGGTCATCTCCGGACGCTGGTCCGCCTATTCGGCGTCCTTCTCGGCCTTGGAACGCTTCCGTCCGATCTCGGCGTCCTGCAGGGCGGAATCCGGAGCGGAAGCTTTTGTCGGAGGAACGGAACCCAGCAGAGAAGGTCATCTCCGGACGCTGGTCCGCATTTTCAACGTCCTTCTTTGGCCTTGAAACGCTTCCGTCCGATCTCGGCGTCCTGCAGGAAGGATCTGGACCGGAGGGCATGAAGAACTGAAACGGAACAAAGATGGCGCAAAGCAAGGGCATGTAGTACAAGCAGGTGCATTTAAAAGACCAAAACACGTCCAGAGATCTACTGCAGACGAAGGCCACATTCGTGAACAGGTGCTCATCGATCTGAGCAAAGTGTTGCTCAAAAAAACCTCCGCGGGTTAGGGACAATCCTTTACATGTTGGTGGTAAGCGTGGTGCACAGAGTCCACGCTTTACATGGTTTATTGCGTAGTTTGCAGAACGATATTGCTGGGTACAGCCTCTCAAACACAGACCGGTGGACTGACAATCCCTGACTGCGACGAAGTGTGAAACGATAGAGCTTTTTGAGTGACTTCTGCATCGATGGATCCTCCTCTTTGACCGCAGTTGATAGACCAACGATCCCTGACTAATTCAAACAAGGAGGCCATTGCCTTGACATACATACAGTTGCTCAACAATCGACCTTTCTTTGCCTCATTTGCTCTTGCCCTAAGCCGCAACCTCCCTTCACCTGACGGACGAACGACTCCTAAGCCCGTTCCTCCACAAGCACCCAGAGATCCCCCCCCCCAAGCACAGAGTCTCCGGAAATCATACAAAACCCAGAGGTGGCCTCCTCCTCGTTTCCGACACTCTCAGAAGCCACACTCGCCCCAAACGTCAGAAGAGGAGTGCATTTTCTGTGCCGCACACTCCTTCCATCGCTCGTCAACGATGCTGAACTGCAGACTTGTGGTCAATATTATCCAGAGCCGCACTAACCTGATAGAAGAACGACTCATACGACCCAAACACAAAACCGTCGTCCGACTCCTCCTCCGTCTCCGACGCCTCGGTCTGCACCCCTGCATCCGCCGCTCGGATACGCGTGCGCCCGCTGCTCCTCTTGTTTCTCGCAGCCGGGGGGCTCCCGCTCGGCCGCTTCCTGCTGACGTCACTCCCCTTGCGGATGACGTCAGCGGACTCCGCAGTGTTCACTCTCGCTTTCTCCGCGGCGAGGGGCGTTTGCGCTGCTTCCCGTTCCCCCCCGGTCGGCGGGGGCGACGCCGCGGTCCCCCGCTTCCCATCCCGCCCGTCTGAGAGAACGCTCCAGTTTTCTGATTCGCCCGTCTGTAGCGGCTCCGGACTTGAAACCGGACTCCTGCAAACGTTCCCCCTTCCCTTCCCCTCCCCGCTCGAAAACGCCTCGCGGGGGTGCTTCAGCGTGTGCAAGTCCCGCCCCCCGGTGTGATGCCGTGAGCCCAGAAACAGGTCCGGAGAGTCGCACCGAATCTCCTCCGGGGAAACTCCGGTGAGAGCTTCAAACAGCAACTCCCCGTCGCGTCGTGTTTTGGGACCAGCCCCTGGGACCGGGGAGGGGAGGCCGCGCGCGAAGCCGAGGCTGGTTGCGGCGCGCACCTTGGGCAGGCTCTCAAACGTCATGGTAGGCGACGCTGACGTCACCTGATGGATGAGCAAGAAGATGACTCTTCAATCTTGGAACCGTAAGCTCTAGAAGCATGAAGCTCCTCACATGACCAGAACTTGATAAGTATGAAATTCACCAGCTCCGCATCCGTAACCACCCTAAAGCCCCCAAATAACGCTACCTGTCCCAGGCTGGTATTCTGACACTTATAATGACCATTTTCGGATTGAACCTTCATTGCGAGATGCGCTGTAGATGAAAGAGGTGTACTATTAGCGGTGAGCTGCACAATTGGTTCTGTCGGAGTGAGTTGAGCTCAGCTCGGGGTTCATGCGTGCAACTCGATAGGTGTGTTTCTGATTGCTCGTCGAACGGTCTGCCTACCACTGCTTTTGGAACATTATCAGCTCTTGTAGGTAGTCCCGATGCGGTGGTAATTTAGTGTGGTGGTTAGGAGCAGTTTTACTGTAGGCGGCTGCCAGTCACTTATCCAACCAGCAGATGGGGGTTGGGCAGCCTCATCAACAGCAAGTATCAATCGTGTTTCCCACAGCAAGTCAAGAATTTTGTAGCATTCCCTAAGCTTCCGCGCTTTCTTAGCAGCCGCCCTTTCTTAGCAGCTTGTGGTGTGATGCAAGCAGGCAAAAAGGCAGAAGGTCGGTTGTAACAATGTTGCAAAGCAACCAGCTCAAAACCTCAGAATGGTGGTGCGCCTGCCAGGGTTGTCAAGAAGGCTTTCTCGGTGTGCCACACAAGACTGCAGTCTGACCTTCTACCAAAAACTTAGGACACCCCACGGCTGCACCACTCTGCTGACTTGCCCTCATCGGTTGTTTGTGGGAACGCAGTGATGCCGAAAGTGCTTTAATCACCAAACATCCCGATCTAAAGAGCTTTCATGTCAAGATTAGCTGCAACAGCTCTGAGCCTGTCATTGATAAAGCCCCGAGGCCTGTGGCACCTCTCTAACTGATTGCCCTAGAATCAGTTTCAATTCCCACTTTATAACCAGAAGGATGAGCGCGAGTAGATGCCAAAAGCTTTCAAGCAAAGCAAAGCAGGAAGGAAAAGAGCTCAGAGTTGCAGCTCTCTAGTCCTCACCTCTAGCCTATCCACCCTACGCCCCATCGGCCCAGCTCAGCAGGAACCCTCCTGAGTCAGGGGGAGCTCCACACATGCTGAGAGCCTATTCGCTGGCAGCTTTCCCCGTTCATCCCAGCCCTGGGCTGTATGATTTCATTGTGTATCCAAGTAGCATCCCTGACTTGTGCTCAATTATCATTGTCAAAAAGTACGTATAATCCTTAAAAGTACCGTTTAAGCATGCAGCTAGCTAGCTGCCATGCACCAGTTGCCAAGAGGTACTACCTACCGTTACTGATATAGGTAATCTGTTATCTAAGCTTTATATACCTTATGTTGCAGGCGCTTTCGCCAGAGAGCAATCGTCAGAGAGTTGACTTGGTTGTCATCCCACACATTGCGGTCAGTTCACTGTGACGAAGTTAAAACCCGGAAAACCCCCGGAATTTCGATCGAATTTCCCCCGACTTTCCGGGGGTTTTCCGGTATCGAATTTAGCAGTACCGGAAACATGCAGAAAATGGAAAATCCGGGGTCATTCCGGGTGCGCGGAAAATGAAAAATAATCGATCCCGGTTCAGTACCCTTTGACGTTTGTCCGCGGGATCGAGCACGCGATCAATCAGACTCGCAGCACACGTCAGCAATACATCACAAATCAGAAGCACACGCCATAACCACTAGACCAAGCTTGATTTCTTACCGCCGCACGTTACTAAAATTACTATGTAGCAACTCCTTGTCAACCGGTCACTTTCTTACCCTTCATCAATTATAGGTACTCACAGACTGGACACAGATTCTACCGGGTTAGCTGAGGACTTCATCAAAATCAGCGCCATCCAGACGGTACCTACTAGGTAGTAGGTAGCCTCAGGCTATCACAGGCTAGGCTCTGAGGTTGAAGTTTTAGGGGAAGCCTCCCTGGCTATAGCTCTTGCTCCAAAGCAGATTTTAATATTTCACCGCTTATCATGAGTTTATCTTGTATTTTCCGTAGGCTTTCAGAAACCAATTTCTTATCTCTGTTGCCCGGCACTGAGTCAATAAGCCCCTGCGCCAGCCTAGTAGTATGACTACTTATTGAAGATTTGGCCCAAAAGTGAAGTTAAAATGCCCTAGGGTCGTCGCACTGAAGCCTAGCCCCCGTTTCTCGCCGATTTTCCGGCCACTTTCCGGCCTCTGCCAGGGACCGCCCTTCACCGGAGGTTTTCCGGGTGTTTTCCGGGCACTTTTACGGTCCAGATTTCGGTCGGAACTTTTGACGACGATGTTGAAATTTTCCGGGTTCGGAATTTTCTTTTTCGGCTCAATTCCGGTATCCGTACGCGGTTCCGGTGACATCCCGGCTATTTTCCGGGTTTTAGCTTTCTCACAGTGGTTGTCAGATAAGAATGACACTTTATTTCTTGCTTCATTACATCCCGGCTGAATCTCAAGATCTTGAAGCTGTTGCCATCGATATAACAAGCTAGATATGCTGAGGCCGCCATTGCTCAGCAGTTGCTAGCCAGCGCCGGCGGCACTCCTATGAATGAGCGTTTTGAAACGCCAAGCAGTGAAATGAAGTGTATCCGAATCGACTTCGACTTCAAGTCGTGGATTGGAAATAGGTACGCGCGCGAGCGCCAGCATCCGATCGCACCGTCCGATGAACAACGAGGACAAATCGGACGGTACACGCGTACCGTGCAGCTGAACGATCTACGTACTGTTCTACGATTCTGCAGTTGTAATTGAACTTTTTAAGTACTGTTCTAGGCTACCTACTACGGTATACCGGTACGTACAACTACGCACGTCGCACACACAACTCCAGAATACCTACTGTCGCTGGCCAATGAGGTCACTGAGGTGAGCTCGATCCTGCCGGCCAGCAATGCTTATGGTGGTACAATGGACATGTTCCGAGCTCATGTGGATGAAGACTCCAATAACATCGCCGTAAAGGTGCTTAATGCAATAACACCCCCACTCACCATAAATGACTCCCCGTGCAGCTTTCCTTCTTTTCGAAAATCCAAGGTGATCGCAAAAGAAGTTTGACACAATCATTCCTAGTATCCCAATTCGTCGGACGTACAGCTGCGAGCCATTGGTTTGTGGATCTTGAGAAGAATCTGGATTATATACATACTGGCGCCCTTCATCGAATGGATACGTTCAAGGCAGTTTCACGAATCTTGCCGCTATTGGCTGATGCGAACGGAATAATGATGCTTACAAACACCATTTCTTCTCGCATCGCTGATCGCTTGGCCCGCTAGATACGTAGGCTCTCAATCGTCTTGAGGAGTCATGACAGCTCCTGTAAAGGCTTTCATTCAACTCCAGGCTATAAACAGTCGCACTCATGCCCCTCATCTTTCAAGACGTTGTAGAGGCGCCCTTGCTGGCGAGCCGACTCCACAGCTGCGCAGACTGAAGGGCTGAGTAATGTATCGTACGTTTAACAATGCACAGTTAATTATGGCATGCAACCAGGCAACAACCTCAGAGACGCTCTCAAGTGCGAAAAAGATCTCCAAATGTATTGTACGGATCTGGTCTTCTTCAGCATAGTATTGAATGCATGAACTTAACCTGACCCATGACTGAAGCATGATGTAGTGGGTTGGCTGTGTCATGACACTGAACGTGACACATTGGACGCGTCCGTCATTGCTGATAAGTAGGGGCGCGATCGTATGAAGTATACGAACCTCTCGAGTTTGGACGTTGACGCTCTAAAGATAAGAACAGAACCCATCGAGTGTTTGTTGCTTGTCACTAAACTACATGAAGTTCACCTACAGCAGCTAACAGACAAACACGGCTATCACGTCTCTCCAAACTTTGACATCAGGGGCCAGCTTCAAATGTCCTCGGTTGTACCCCAAGTCCGTTCCTTTGCGGCTTGAACGAAACGAAACGGAGCTGGTCAGTTTATAAGGTGATGCAGTTCCGAAGTGGACTTGGTTTCCCTGGACCCCGATCTGATAGTCTAGCAAAGCGACCCAGCTACGTACATACAGGCTACATGATAGGCTTGCCATGCGGTCAACGGAGGAGGTTAAACGCTGGCATTTTTCGAGCAACTCAAAATTCTAAAGCCCTAATAAACCTCATCAAACAACTAAGCATGAGTTGGAGCGCGGTAGAGATCACCTGCCCAGACCTCGCTTATCCACGTCTCAATCTGACGTATGAAGCTTCGAACACTTGATGAGACACAGACGCTCCTTAGTCCTCATGCCCCTTGGTTGACCGTCAACCAGACCTTTGGCAAAACACCTCTTAAGCGACATTTGACAGGTTCGTTGACGTCCCAACCAAGCCAGCCTTAACCAGAAGTCAAGCTTTCACTTTTGACTGCAAAAAGGCCCTATGCCGGTCCCCCGCACGCAGGTTGCGACGCCGGCTTAGGCGCACACTGCACTGGGGCCCGGGCCGCATCCCCCGGGACAGCAGACGAAGGACGACCCGTCTGCGTTGAAGCACTGGTTGGGCAGCGGGGAGGAGGGATCGCACGTGGCTGAAGCGCCCGGGGTAGGCGTCCCGGGCACAGAGTCTGCCTCGGCGCACGCGGGCAGGTTGTTGGCAAGAGGGGGGCTGCGGCACTGCAGATTTGGAGAATCTATTCAGTGTTGACTGCGGCATTATTCTTGAAGGGTTATTGTTTACTGTATAATACCTGCCTTGCGGCAAATGTTTCTGATCGATTATATGCTGACAAGCAGTGAAGCGGGAGTCCCTCTTGACGAGTAGTTGCAACTGCTTCTCGAGCTTCGTACGATGTCAATTGAGGCAGGTTCAGTTCCCGCTTGATTCGGCTCTCTTACGAGATTGGCAAACTCAGCTGGATTTTGGGCGGTCTGAAGGCGGTAGTGAATCTCAGAAGGGTGTCAGAGAACCAAGTGACGCACGAGATTGAAAGATACGGGCTTCCGAGCCAGCAACGCGCACTTTAAAAACTCTGTACCCGAGTACGTCTGATCAAAGAAGCGCACTCAATAAATTCCCCCGATTTCCCATGTCTACTCCAAGTTCGACGAACGGAGTAATTGGTGATGCTTCTTACCTTAAAGTAAACTTTCCAAGCTCCTCCTGACCCCCAACAAAGCTGACAGCTGGTCGGAAACCGTCTAGTGTAGAAGAGATGTAAGCCGTCTAGAAGATACTTTTACGTGGAAAGGCGCCGGCGCATGGACATTCTTAACGTGGATCTCAGTTCTGTTCAAGGTGCAACAGCAACGGCCCTTTTCCGTTTAGCCGCTGAAGAGAAGGGATCAGAGCGGACGTCCTTTGAAAAATTCTGAAATGACTACGTGTGTCCGAATATCTCTTTCCCTGCTTGACGCAAATCAGGCATCTGTAAAACACGTATCGATTGGCTGCGTGTGTTCTTGATGCAGGACACTCGGAATCAATCGCAACGGCGCATGAGCACCTGCAAACGAGAGACGGGCTCTGGGCGGACCTGGTATATTTCAAGCCGACAGTAACAGCGGAGATAAGCGAGAGCTCCAGTTCTATCTGGTGTCTGGGCAGAGTGCTCCCGAACTTATTTCCCGGGCGTCGAACTCGCGGCCGCTTGAAAATTGAGGCAGTTAAACCTTACCTGGCCGGGGCAGCACACTGAGGCGGACCCGTCGCCGTTGAAGCACGCGTTGGGCGCGGCGCCGCTGACGTCACACGGCTCCGCAGCGCCCGCGATGGTGACGTCATAAGCCACGGGGTTGCCGTTGTTGTAGAGGGCGAACGTTATGGCCACCCGTTAGGAGCGCCCCGGTCGAAGAAGGGTCGGCTCGATGAGGGCGAATTGGCCGACGTGCAGTCGGGGACCGGTGGAAACGGTGTCGGGGCCGTAGCTGAAGGGCGTGTTGAGCGTCTTGAAGTAGCTGACTCGAGGAAGGAAGGACGGTTTGTTCGGTGGCATCTCAGTACGGATAGACGGTTCTTGGAAAGGTGACTATTTCTCTAACGGCATTGGAACAAGTAGGATGAAGAGTTTTTATAGAAGGCCGGATGCAGCCAAGTGGACGTGGGATCTCGGTAAGGATCGATGGTTCTTAAGAAGGTAGTTACCCTTTTAACGGCATGAGGAAGGTAGATTTAGGATATTTTACAGACGTTTGGATGCAGCCAAGTGTTTATGAAACACTCGAGCGACTTCAATGCGCATTCCAATCGCCCCTCACTTTGAAGGAAGTACTTTGAAGAGAAGCCCAGACTCGTTTGTATTGCGGTTATTGTCATTCAAAGCTGTCTGAAAGAGAAGAGGACAACTCGATGGACCACAGAAAAACAAGGAGTCAGATTCCTGATGTTTACGTGGCAGACGGACCAAGTAAATTTCGAACATTAAAGCGAGGACACTTGGCACGGTTCACACCTGGCACGGTTCTCACCTCTTGGGGGGTAGCGGAGCGTAGGGGCCTTCGACAGCGACAAACGCATACTCGATCACGGTGACGACCCCGGTTGAAAGGTCCGTCAGAGTGACCGTAGAGCTTGGGTCGTCCAAAACGTCCAAATAGCCCAGGTTGACCTGAAGAGATAACATTACATTCTAAGATCCAAGTCAGGGGATCAGATCGATGGGCATGAACACAAAACTTGACAGATGTCGGCAAAGGGGGGACGAACTTGCACAAACGAGGGCTTGTAAGATCGTTACTCGAGCAAACGTACATTAGTGCTTGGATGCCGCAAGTGTTGTGGTTTCATCTCTCGTGATTTTTCCTGTGTTTTCGTACTGTTCCATGCGTTATAATTTCCTTGTGTCGTCGTCATTATTATCCACTGCAACCGGTAATGTCTTCGGATCCATAAATAAGACCGTCTCTCGATGTTGCTTTTCAAACAGCAATTCAATTTGGTCTCAGCCCAAAGTCGAGAACTGCTGCTCGCTAGACACTTTGAGATTTCAATCTGGTATCTGGATGAGCCGACACGATACCCCAGGGTCTTCGTCTACATTTTACGTCTGACTTCCAGCAAGCCTGGGACTGAACCTTTGCCTCCCTCACAAGAAAGGAACAAGTGGGAGACCCGTTCCGGTAATGCACAGGCATTAGAATCGTTCTCACTTTACCTCTTCCTCGAGGCGTTATCCTTCTGCAACACTTGATCACAATCATCCGCCATGACTTGCATCCTGCGTTATCACTCCGCTCGAAAGACTGCACCGCGCGTGCTTCTTATTTCCACTTGGACAAATCGACAAGACCTGGAATCTTGATAAGGTCATGCCCGAAACGTCTTCAGTTCAGATGCGGCCGGAGGCCCAAAACGGCCTTGGAAACTACCAACCAGGAAAACACCACTCCATGTCTCAGCAAAGGAGCTTGAACCTGGCAATCTTACGGAATAATTTACTGTCGCTCACCACGTCCAAGCAATTGGAGCAATCCGTTCCGGAGTTCACAAACGGACACACGTCCGTCGTATTGTCCGTGGTCGCCCCGGACCCGTCGCAGCAGTCACACCTTTCGGCGTCCACGGAGCATAGGGGCGTGCACAAAACGTCGCCCACAACAACTAGGATGGGCTTCCCCGGCAGGAACGTGCAGCGCCGCGCAGGCACCGGGAGGTCGGGTTCGGAGGTGAAGATGAACTTGCCGGTCAGGAGGTACGGACCGTCGGCCAGCTGGTCGCGCTCGCAGGAGACATCGAGCGTGACGAGAGGGTTGCTGAAAGGGAGAAAATGACAAACCCAGTTAGCGTTCGGTTTTGTGCCACTTTGCCGGTGGCAGAGCTGGTTAGGTAGCAACTGAGGCTGGCAAGAAATGTTGAGCCTAGCGAGAGGGCTGCTATGGAGGAATTTTCAGTAGGTGAAGCTTGCCATGAGAATGTGCCGTAGTTAGAAAGGGGTTGTTGGGGCAAGGGGCAAGTCGCCTTTGAGCTCTCGAGGGCACGTGGGGCGTGATTGACTGAAGGGAAGGCATTACGTCACGAAGAGTCACTATTGACCAGGCCTTTCGATGTTCCGTATTAGGAAGGAGGTACAAAAGTCGAGCGAAGCTGGATGACGAATATGACGAATTCGTTTTGTGGGTGTGTATACCTAAGCGTGACATGTTGCATGACCTCATCATAAAGGTGATAAGGATACAAGGGGACGTAAAGTAAAAGAATATATATTGGGCCCATCCAACAATCCGGCAGAAGTCAGACACTTTAGGACTAATGGTAGTTACACCGGAAGACGAAGGAATCCGAGACGAGCAATCGAGAAGGACACCGCAGCTCTGAACTCGAACGAAGTTTAAGAAGAAGCAACTGAGGATGTTGAGAACCAAAGTGTTTGAGTAGGGGCGGGAAGAAGCACCATATCAAACGCTTTTCTTGTCACCATATGTCCTGACCTAGTGGCAGCCAAGGGAAAGATGTCTTTTGCAAGGCGGCGAGGGTCAAAAGCAATTTATCAACTGTAATAAGAGGGAGAGAATACCATAGGTCTATAATTTTTCATTCACGGGCATGAAAGGTGGAGTCAGGGGGAAAAGTACAGACCTGCGGTCGGGAGTGTTGAGCACCGTGAGATAGTTGAACACTGCCGCCACCGCCGCCTCCACCTTTTCCTTGTACTGTGACGGTTGGACAGGGTTTACACGCTGCCTGTCTACTTCAC